TCTCCCTTTTTCTGCCAAAATCATTTTTAAGCTTATTCTATTCTGGAAGGTCATCTGAGAGGTAACTTGTAACCGCCCTATCCCACCATATATCCCATAACAAGTATAGTTCCCAGGATATATAGTAATGCCTTCGTTTGGGCATAATATTTTTAGTAATGATTGGGTATTAAGTTTCCATGACTCGCATGCTGACCGCTTAGGTTTAAATACAGTGTAGAGACTTAAAACGCATACTTCATATCCGGAGGAAGGTTCAGGGATACTGTACCTGGGTGAGGCCTCGCTCCTCTGCAGACATAGCAGTTAGACTTGTTATGTTTAGTAGCATTGTATTTCATCCATTCAAGTCACAAGTTAGTGTCAGAGAAACCTGTCTCTACAGCCCTCTTATCCTCAAATATGGGATGACTACCATGTCTTTTAAAGTCCTAATGTGTGGTTTGAGGGGATTAACAGTCATGTGCGTGGCACCTACCCATTCAGCTGAGTCATACATGTCCTGTAAGAAAAAGGTCTCCTGTTTATTGTATAAACCTCTTCCCTTCCAATTCAGATTTTATTAGCCGTAATGCTTGGGAAAATAGATTCAAACTTAGTTTCTTACCTTAAAATCATTTGGTACCCCCCTTGACACCCCTATGGCATTAATATACATATATATATATATATATATATATATATGTGTGGGTAAAACCACCCTTTATAGGGGTACTCCTTTTTGTCCTGAAGCATGAATGAGGTGTGTCAAGAGTACCTTGGGGATTGTCATGTGTTATGTGTATGGACACAATAACCTAGGCTAGGGCACATTTACTTATTCTTAGAAATCTTGTCTCATGCTACCCTAGTACTGGCAGATTCAGATCATTTAAACATTCAATATTAATATCACCACAAACTCAAGATAAGCAGATGATCCTGAAAAAGCTTTGACTGTGCGTATGGCACCTCAGACATGAGGGCTGCAGGGTAAGGAGTATGTTTGTTTCTCTTTAGTTTCACGAGGTCCCCTTTTGGGGTATTCGACTTTCCATCGATGGCAGGTGGTCAGGCATTATTATGGCCATCAAAACACCCACTTGTTGATATTTATTTATTTTCAACAAGTATCTTTGTTCTCTAAGAATGGAGTTTCAAAAAGGGTTGTCAAGATCAACAGATGTTACTTCACATGATGCAGAGGCAGGCTTGATTCTGGAATGATGAATCCACGGGGTGATCTCTGTAACTTTCACAGTGCACTACTCAGCATGTGGTCTTGGTTATCACTTTGGTGGCTGGATAGGCCTCTGGCCATCCTGAAAACATTGTCTGCTATAATTAGTGCATAGTTGAATCAGCCATTCTTTGGCATTCTGGATGTAGTCGACTTGACTCCTCTGGAAGAGATAATGAGGTTTGGCTAGATGCTTGGGGCTTTCCTCCATTCTTCCTGAGTTGCCCTTGGCACAAATGGCACAAGATTTACAGTAACTGTTGGTCAGAGAGGCAATTCCTGATACCTCAGAGTATTTATTGATCAAAAGAGTTCATGAGGGTTCTGGACAGATGCTCCGTAGGCCCACTGGACCACTGCTGAGTATATGTTCTTGGGCAAGTAGAACTTGAGATTGTTGAAGTACAGCCTGTCTTTAAGAGTTGCCCCTTTCTGTTTCCAGCTTGTGGTTTGTTTGTTTTTTCTTTCTTTCCAGGGTCAGTAGCTTGCTCGTTATTCCTTCGGGAGCTTGATGTCTGTGGGTAGGATCTTACATGGTGAATATGGGAGTTTCTTCAGCAGACACTTTTCTGTCCACTTCCCTTAGTGCACTTACAACTTCTTGAACAACTTAGTCAGCCAGAGAGCTGCCACATGCTTCCTCTGAGTTCAGTCTTCCTTCAGAGATCTTGCATGGTGTGATGGGAGCCTATAGCTCAGCTTCTTGTGCAGACATTGTTGAGGTGAGATACTTGGTCCACTGTAGTGACAGCAAATCCGGAACAGATCATAAGAAAAAGGCTAAAAAAAAATAATAGTCAGTGTCTTATCATTTCCCCCCTTGGGAAGTGGCAGAAGAGTGGCCAGGTAAATAGAGTATCATCCCTGCAGGGTGACATTATCCTGCACAGAATTCGTCCATAACAAGGAGAGGTGGGATATTGCATGGAAAGTCTCAGGTAACCGGGGCACCATTCGACACCAGAGCCTTAACCTGTTAGGGAATAGTAAGAGCTTGGACAGGCTTTGGGGCCTGTATAATTCAGGTAAAGGTATTGGGGGAACTAGCTAGGACCCTTGCCTCTTGGTCAGGTTTCACTGTGTGGAACAAAATAAATAATAAGGTGATAGGGGCCTGCAAGTGGGGGAAGAACATCTACACCTAGCAGATTAATTGGACAGGTGAAGGTAACCACAAAGCAAGGCTTAGTTAACAGGCTACTCCAAGGAGAGCCATCTACACTTTTGCAGGAGACAACAATGTTAGACAGGAATGAGGAGTCAGGCAGGCCTTGCTTGGTACAAATAGATGTCATGTGGCCTGCTATACAAGGCTGCATATAGTTATTGGGCATGGGCCTTACTATGTACTAAAACTTAAGTTAAAAGAAAATTTGGGACAACCTGAAGTGATGCTTCTCCACAGATGCTAACTCATCGTTGATGACATTGTTAATACAGGTAGTCTGATCAGCCAATTTATCTTAGGCTTAAACAAGTCACACCATGTAGTGGAATGGGTCATTAGGATTCGGGAAATTCTACAGTAAAAGGGCATAGTAAGGATGTACGTGATGTTACTTTAGGAGTAGGCGTGGCTGTGGATAGGGGGAAATCAGCCTTATCCATTCCCATATATTATTCCTTTTGTCTTCAGTATATCCAAACCATGTGTATGTCCAGGCGTTGCAATATACAGTAAACCATTATCAGTCATGATATTAAAATCTCATTCTCATGAATTAAATCAAAGATTTTAAATCAACCTCAGAAGCAACAAAGAATAAATCTATTGTTTTTTCTTCTGTAAAATGATTGGAGTTACTATATAATTGCATACACCCAACATAACATTGCATGTTCCTCACTGCTACATTAGTGTATTTCATTCTGCCATATGTGCAAACTTGATTTAAATTTTTATTTTAATTAACCTAATACTTTCTTATAACACATATAAAAACAATGAAAGACAGTACAGACTAACAATTCATTTAAAACAATAAACTGACATAGATCTCTATTCTTGTGCTGTTCTTAATTCTGGAATCAGCCTGTGTACATCTGTTGGCAGACATATCCATGCTCATTCCCTAAACTGATCATATCTCTTGAAGTTATCTGATTCTTATAACTTTCTGTGTTACGCTGCATTGCTTGTCTGTCTCCTAATTTCCATATATTATTTTATCATTTTCCTGAAATTTTACAAGCGTGGTCAGTCTACATGCCATTTGAGTCGGCAGCCATATTTTAAACAATCTATTCCTTCGTTCGTCATTTAGGCTGTATTTGTCCACATTTGACTCAAACATTCCAGCATTAGTAAATGCATCCACTGACGTGTCATAAACTGGAATACATTTCACAATTTTCATTAATTGTTCATGTATTTTCAAATTAAGTTTTGCAGCTCTGTCTTGAAATTTATATTTCTGCAAATCACTCTGTGAGGATACATTTTCAGTATCTATTGGTTCTGGGATTAGATTCTGTGCCTGTATTTTTCTTGTATTAACACACACTTGCTTAACTTCATTTCTAAGCTGGCAAATAAGATCATTTCTTAGTTCAACTCTATCCTGTAATTCACAGACTGTTTCTGACTGTTTACAGCATGTGCTCTCTGTTACATTGTTACACTGTTCATTTAAATCTGATTTGTCTTCTGTTAACCCATTCAAATCTACTTCTTTTTCTGATGATTCTAAATTGTCTTGACCTGCATCTCGTTTACAAATCAATGCATTGTAAGTACAGACTAGTTTCATAACATTTCTGATCTTTTGTTTTTTTCTTATTAACAAACAATTTCTTGTCAATTTCACTATTGGCAATTTCACATTGTGTGTATAAAGATTGCCACAATACAGCATCTGAATAGCTGCTATTATATGCAAACTGCAATTTACTTTTCTCTGCAATATCATTTATAAATTCCACAATTCATTTGTTCCAACAAAATCTAACTTTCCTTATTCCAACATGCCAATAACCTCTTACTTAACAACATATAAAAGATTACACAAAGTTCCTAACTAGGTTATTCGTCCTGCAAATATACCTTTTTTCCCTCACATTCCTCACTGAGTTTACAAGCATTTCACCCATTCACCCCCCCTGTAGCCAATACTCATAGCAGTCAGAGCAAGAGAAAGCAACAAAGAAGGAGGGGGGAGGAGGGAGGAAGACTTGCAAGCACAAAGTTTTTTAACCATGTGATTGCCTAAGCACAGCTCTCCTTAGGACAAAAGATAGAATAGGAGAGTAACGATACAGATTGTATAGATTACAATTAACATATATGGTACCTAACAAGACATACACAGACAAAAGCACAAAATACAGATGTAATTAAATCACAAAGTCCTTAAAATAAATGCCGGCTTATAATAAATCAAATCACACACACAGAAACACTCAAGCACATAAACCGCTCCTTTACCGAAGCTTAGCTAAAATACATTTATTTTATTTTTTTTTTTATTTTTTTTATTTATTTTTTTTTTTTAACTCTTGACCGAGTCTTAATAAAACAAAGGAACCGCCAGGTTTTTTACCAAACGAGGCCAAAACATCACTCACTAGCTTCTTTACCAAAGCTTAGCTAAAATACATTTATTAAACTCTTTACCGAGTCTTAATAAAACAAAGGAACCGCCAGGTTTTTTACCAAACCCGAACTTGGCTAAATATGCCAGCGCTTAACCACACTTGGCAGCATTATATAACAGTATTAAGCAAGTAGTAAAACAGATTCTCAAGCAGCCACTTTCACACATAAAACTCACACTCAGGACTTAGGCTGTAGATAGACAAGTGACAGGTTCTATATAAAAGGGGACATGTGGGCATACTATATACCTGTCTGACGTTAACCACAGGAAGCCGAGTGAAGGCCCAGAGTGCAGACCAATTCCAAAGAATGGAAAATATAGGTAAGTTACTTATTTACCATATGCAGAGGTGATCAGGCTCTTTTTTTTTTCCAATCTCTGGGGGTCTCCTCTCCGGTCCTGGGATTTTACGGCTTCGAGCAGAATAACAACAACCCTCACATCCCGGACGAGCCCCCAAATTGTTTTAGAATCAAAGAAAACTTTGATAATTTGTCTATCTACACCTTCCAAATTGATTGATTAATGCGTGCACGCTTTCCCTAGAAGTAATTCACACCGGAGACAAAGTTTCTGATCAGTGAAAAACTCAGGAATGCTTTATTCCCCGGAGTGGGGGCTCCTTCTTAAAGCAAAAATACGTCACAGTTTAAACATACAGTATACATTCACCAATTGGTTAACAGAGAAAGGGGCCTCTTGTTTAAACCCCCCTACAGGATGTAGTGTCATCATTATAGACTTCTGGATACACGATGGGAGGGGGAGTGAGTAGTTTCCACTGATCCTCCATTTAGCTATACGTGGCATATAGCTGTTAACTGGCACAAAGGTAGTGGGGGAGGAGTTAGTAAAGGGAGTTATCACAGGAACTTTGGTTACACAAGGTTTTATTGATTTGAAGGGGGGGGGGAGGCTAGCAGGATGTGAGGAATTTACATAGTAAACAGCAGCTGACCACATTGTAGGGGGGAAGGGAATATTTACTCTAGAAGCCAGTTTTAACATAGTGAACAGAGAATAAATAGACATTAGTAAATAGCCATTTTATTTTAATTCATCTGTCCATAACACCGCTTTAAGGACACTAACTGCTATTCAATCTATAACAGTGAAAAAAGTTTTTTGTTTTTTTAAATCCAAGCTATTGTGACACCAGATCTAATTAGTGGCACTGGTCAGCGTATCCACTGTTAGCGTAACACACCCGCTTTAAGGACACTGACTGCTATTCAATCTATAACAGTGAAAAAGTGTTTTGTTTTTTTAAATCCAAGCTTTGTGTCACCAGATCTAAGTGGTGGCACTGGTCACCGTATCCACTGTTAGCGTAACACACCCGCTTTAAGGACACTGACTGCTATTCAATCTATAGCAGTGAAAAAAAGTGTTTTTTGTTTTTAAATACAAGCTTTGTGTCACCAGATCTAAGTGGTGGCACTGGTCACCGTATCCACTGTTAGCGTAACACACCCGCTTTAAGGACACTGACTGCTATTCAATCTATAACAGTGAAAAAAGTTTTTTGTTTTTTTAAATCCAAGCTATTGTGACACCAAATCTAATTAGTGGCACTTGTCAGCGTATCCACTGTTAGCGTAACACACCCGCTTTAAGGACACTGACTGCTATTCAATCTATAACAGTACAAAAAGTTTTTTGTTTTTAAATCCAAGCTATTGTGACACCAGATCTAATTAGTGGCACTTGTCAGCGTATCCACTGTTAGCGTAACACACCCGCTTTAAGGACACTGACTGCTATTCAATCTATAACAGTAAAAAAGTTTTTTGTTTTTAAATCCAAGCTATTGTGACACCAGATCTAAGTGGTGGCACTGGTCACCGTATCCACTGTTAGCGTAACACACCGCTTTAAGGACACTGACTGCTATTCAATCTATAACAGTGAAAAAAGTTTTTTGTTTTTAAATCCAAGCTATTGTGACACCAGATGTAAGTGGTGGCACTGGTCACCGTATCCACTGTTAGCGTAACACACCCGCTTTAAGGGCACTGACTGCTATTCAATCTATAACAGTGAAAAAAGTGTTTGTTTTTTTTTAAATCCAAGCTTTGTGTCACCAGATCTAATTGGTGGCACTGGTCACCGTATCCACTGTTAGCGTAACACACCCGCTTTAAGGACACTGACTGCTATTCAATCTATAACAGTGAAAAAAGTGTTTTTGTTTTTAAATCCAAGCTTTGTGTCACCAGATCTAAGTGGTGGCAATGGTCACCGTATCCACTGTTAGCGTAACACACCCGCTTTAAGGACACTGACTGCTATGCAATCTATAACAGTGAAAAAAGTGTTTTTTGTTTTTAAATACAAGCTTTGTGTCACCAGATCTAAGTGGTGGCAATGGTCACCGTATCCACTGTTAGCGTAACACACCCGCTTTAAGGACACTGACTGCTATTCAATCTATAACAGTGAAAAAAGATTATTTTTTTTTAAATCAAACTATTGTGACACCAGATCTAATTAGTGGCACTGGTCAGCGTATCCACTGTTAGCGTAACACACCCGCTTTAAGGACACTGACTGCTATTCAATCTATAACAGTGAAAAAATAGTTTGTTTGTTTTTTAAATCCAAGCTATTGTGACACCAGATCTAATTAGTGGCACTTGTCAGCGTATCCACTGTTAGCGTAACACACCAGCTTTAAGGACACTGACTGCTATTCAATCTATATCAGTGAAAAAAGTGTTTTGTTTTTTTTAAATCCAAGCTATTGTGACACCAGATCTAATTAGTGGCACTGGTCAGCGTATCCACTGTTAGCGTAACACACCCGCTTTAAGGACACTGACTGCTATTCAATCTATAACAGTAAAAAAGTTTTTGGTTTTTAAATCCAAGCTATTGTGACA